TTGTAAATAAAAAAAGACTAAACTATTTTTACTTTTCAAGATTTCTTCAAAATAAAATTTTTGTATTGAAAATATAATATTTTTCCTTTTTAATGCTTTTTACATAAAATAGATATTGATAAGCAGTAGATTTTCATAAATTACAAGTAAAATAATTATATTACAATCTGCCTATAATTTGCATAAGAAATATTTGTCGAGGTTTTAAATAAATTCAATATTTTTTAATAAAATTTTATGATATTTTAAATGATAAATCATCAGAAATAGATAGTTTCTAATAAAAATGATGTTCATAACAAAAGTAAATAGTAATTCAAAAATACAATTTACAACAAAAAGTTATTATTTTAGAATATTTAATAATCAGATTTAAAATTAAATGAAAGAAAATTTGATTGCGGTTAAATTTTGTCAATTTTATTAGAAATATTCTATTAATCAAAAATATGGATTACAAAATTAATTTATTTGATATACCAAATTTTTTATTAATATTTGAATTGGCAAAATAATTGAAATATCATGCAATTATTGATACAATGATTAATTTGTTTATTCATTAATTTATAACAATCAATTAGAAAATAAATATTAGTCTTTTGCTATCTTAGAAATACAATAGAACAAATAAACAAATAATAATAATCGATTGATAAAAAAGATCATAGGATATAAACAAAACAAATAAATAAATAACAAACAAACAAAGAAAGAAATCAAAGAAAAGAAATCGATTAATGAGTTAAAAACCAGTTGAGGAGTTAATTAAGTAGAACCTAGTAAAAAATACTTTAACATTTTTATGGATAGAAAATAAAATAATCAAATAAATTTCTGAAAAATAATTCAAAATTAGGCCAAGCAAGGATTTATCAAGGATCCGATGGAAGAGAATTTTTTAGATATGATTCAGATCTATTTGTTTCCGAATTACAAATTATTATCTTTTACAAATCTGATAGCATTAATTGATACCATTTTTTACATTTCTACTTTGTGCTATGACGATACTGATGAAAAATTAGGATTATTATCTCCATCTCATGAAAGTCTGTATACCTTTGGCCATATTTATCCTCCTAAAATGAAAAAGGGTTAATATTATAGATTTATAATACCAATATTTCTATACTCAAATTTGATACACTATTTATTTAGCATGTTCGCAAAGATATATTTACTGCAGTTAATAGAACATTTTTAGGGTTTTTTTAAAACTCTATTTATATACCTTATGGTTACCACATATGGAGTAGTATTTAACTCGTTATTTCCTGGCGCATATGGAGTTGGAGGATCATTTTTCATTGGTTTAATATTAATTTGTTTTGTGTAAGAAAGTAGTCAAAATAGAATGATGAGTAAATACAATTAATTTTGTTTTATTTCTGGTTAATCAAGCTAAGTGAAAAATTCAATTATAATATTCATTACACTCTTATCTATTTATGTAATGAATTAAGTTTTCCCTAACATTCCTATGTTTGGCCACTGTGGAAGCTATTTTATGAGCCAGATACTATCTAATGTATTTACCAACTAGAAGAGAGATAAGAATAAATGCAAGCAAATCTTATGGTTTATGATATCAATCTTAGTTTACCTTGCTACATTTTATATTTTCTTTTTCCTAAAAAACAATTCTGAATGAAATGCCTATCTAAACAATAAAAAGACAAATATTAAGAAACTCTTCCTTCTTGCAAATCGCATATTTTCTAATCAATAAATAAATAAAAAATTCATAAAAAGATTTAATTAAAGTTAATGATTATGTATAAAGTTGATATTTCATTAGTTTATTCACATTTTTAGAATTATTTTGATTTTATATTTTTTTAATAATAAATCCTGTAAATATTTCAACTTCAATTTAAGAAATAATATTTTTTAAAGATTAATTTACTTGTTATTAAATTAATCTTAACAAAATATATTTATCTAATAGATATCCTAGAAAATTATAATTTTTATTTTTTGTGAAATTCTAAGATATTTGATACAAATTTTAGATTAAAAATCTTTTGCACATTATTTTCATTAAGCATTAGCATACATATTATATGATATGAGTAAAATAGTGCTTATTATTAGAACTATAAAATTTCATTTAATTTTAAAGTAAAGCAATACAAAATAAATATTAAGAAATTCCAATGAAAACCTAAATTTAGTCTTTGCTTACGAATTAGAAATAGTAAAACAGTATAATTTTAATATTAGCTCTAAATTATTAAAATAACTTTTACAAGGAAAAAGAAAGTATGATAAACAAAAGTTAAAAAAATAAAAAATGAGAATTCATATTTATTTACATCAAAAACTCTCTTAAGCCAATACTGTATTTTAAACTTATTCACAAATTATGGTATTGAAAAATCTTGGAGACTTTAACCATATATATATATACCCTATCTAAATCCTTCAAAATTAAGACATCTTTTGGCTACATCCTCAGTCTCAGTGAAGGGGAGTGATAAAAAACAAATAAGAATTTTATTTTAATATTTTTTTAATTTGATCTAAAATAAGAATTTTAAAATATCTATTAAAAGATATTTACTACTTTGAATTTTACATAAATATTTTATGTTTCATTTATAGTAGTTAATTAGATTAATATTTATAATTGAATTAATTTTAAAGCAAAAGCTTTGATCACATTTAGTCAAAAAGTTGTTTACTTTGATAATTTATTTTAACAAATTGAATAAATAGTTTATTTCTTAAATTCCTTTTCTGATTAAGATAAATTTAAATATAAAAATTTTATGAAGTTTTACAAATAATGTACGATTAAATAAATAAAAGAAAATTTGATTATTTTAGAAAGATTCTCAGCATTTTATTTTTTATAAGAAATAATTATTGATGCAGAGATATTTTAAGATCAAACAAAAACTATGTTTTTTGAATATTAAAGGATATATGTGATTAAATTGATAATTATAATAGATTAGAAAAATACTTCTTTTTTAAGAATATAGTGTGTTTTTTTAATTTGAATTAGCCATTTAGTAAGCATCTATAATATTTTATACTAAAATGTCTATAACAATAATATTTACCATAAATTACTATCAATATAAACAATTAAGATAGTTAAATAAGAATTAATAAGAATTTTTAGTAGACATTTTAAGTTCAAATTTATATCTATATGAATAGATACAAAAATTAATTAGTATTTTTATGATAATTTTTGAATTAAGCTAGACTGACCTATTTAAAGCTAAGATTAGAAGTAACTAAAAAAATTTAAGTCAGCTTGGTAAAAGATGATAATTATATTGGTAGAAATTGTTATGAAGATAGAATGATCTATGAGATCATCAACAAACAATATAATAATCACTAACTTTATTTTATAAATAGAAAAATAGATGTAATTTAATAATACTGAGTCTATATCAAGCAGTGATAATTAAAGTGTCTTAATGAAAAAGATACATCTCTACCAAATGACTTTCATTCATTCTATCAATGAATTATTTAGTTACTAATTGATTTATTCTATCAATCAATCTAAAATTCGCTTTATATTTATTTGTTTAATTATTTATTTATTGGAAGTCTGCGAAATCTTTGTTGCCAAATATTTTAATAGCAAAAAGTTTATTTATATTTAAAAAAAAAGATAAAAAAGAAATTTATAGATAAATTTTAGAACAAACAATCAAACACATTAAAATTAAAGAGAAAAATTAAGCAAGCATTTAATTAAAATTATGTAAAGCAGCCAATAGCAAGTTTAGATGCAAGAAGTCGTCTTGTAAAATTTAGATGAGAATACAATTTATCAATGTCTCGAAGCAATCCACACTGCCGCTAACGAGTCAATCAGAAAAAATGCTGACTAATATTTGATGAGTTTGGAAGAACATCCTCAATTTTCTTTAATTTTGATTTCTATCTTCGAAAAAGCTCAAGTAATCAATCTAATAAGCAAAAACACATCAAACTTCATCTTAAAATTTCGCCCTTTGTTTTTTCGTTCAATCAATTCTTTTTTGTAAAGATTTTCCTCTTATTTGTTAAAATCTTTGAAACTTGTTCAATCGGTTTATTAATTTATTGTCCATCCATGATCTATGCCAGAAAATTGTTTAATTTGGGAGCTTTTTGTATTTGTTTTTAGCCAAAATAATTGAGTAATTGCAATCAATTAATATCTAAACTAAGTCAGATTCATAATAAATTAATGGGAGAGTTTAAAATCAAACAATAAAATATGAGGAAATGCAAAAGAGTTATGAAGCGATAAAATAAACAGAAGCGAAACTTTTAGAATTTTTTTTATAAGCAATAAATCTAATTCAAATTTTGTTTTTAATAGGTAGAAACAATCAAATTGACAGCCTTAATGTATCTCAAAAACATCATTAAGAGATATTGGTCATAAAGATCCTTAGTAAAGAAGAAAGGTAAACAAAAAAACTGCAAATAAATAAATAATATTAAATATTTAAAAGAAATTTTAAAATATTTAAAATAATAAAAAGCGAATAAAAAATTGTTTCTTTTGTCTTAGAATAAAAATATTTATATAATATTAGCTTAATAAGATTTCTTTTAAAAAAAGAACTACATGCACTAATAGAATATAATTATTTATTCGTATCTTTTTAACTTTCTATCAATTCTAAAAACAGAATAAATACAAAATTCTATATGCAAAACAACAAAAGCTCTTTAAAAAATGAAAAAAATAATAAGAAAAAATAGAATTCAATGCAGTTTATAGTGATTTTCAAATGAGTACATTAAAATATAATCGAAATTCTATTTGATTTTCATAATTATCGTAATTTATTGTCATTTTTTTGAGCAGAAGATTTATTTTAGATTAAAAAAGAAAGTAAAGATTGATTTACAATAGATAATATCTAAAGCAAAATAATTTTTAAAGTAAAATAAAGAATAGCAAAAAATAAATTATTTTTATTAATTAATCTAGCTTTTTAGTACAAAATATTTTGATTTCTTCAAAATAAAGCAAAAACTTAAAAACCAAAAAAATTTGATAGTAAAATAGAATTATGTATTTATTTCAAGTAAATTGAGAACATTTTTATGCATTTTCATTATTTTAAATCAAATAATTTACATATAATTCAAAATTTTAATGAATAAAACATTTCTTCAAATAAATTATCCATTTATATTTATTTATTTATTAATTTGACATTAATTTTAAATAGAATGCCCTTTCCCTGAACAAAATAAGACTTAAATTCGTCAATACTTTGTCAATTTACTTTAGAATAATAATAGCAGAAGCATTAGAAAGCATATAGATGCATGCATTAGTTTAATTATTTAAAATGAATTGCCTAACTGCTTTCCTTAGATTATAGAGTATATCTAATCTTCTTTAAGCGCCTTGCTTCAAGTTTTAAAACAAGGAAATATTGATGTTTTGAATAATTAAGAAACCTTCAACTTACTCAAAACCTGTAAAATTGTCTTGAGATAATTCTCCAAAAAACCTATAAATAACTAATAGCCCAATCCTATCCACTAAAGTAATTTAGAGTTGGTATTTACCATTTGGGAGATGGTTAACAATTACACCTAGCAAGCTATCAGCAATTAAAATATCAACTAATTTTAGTTATTCACTAGCATTTCGACCGCATTTGATAAAATGCTTTGTTTTTCTATTTGCAGTCAATCAACTGAAACTTAATTCAGGTAAATTAATTAATGCCTATTATTTTTTCTTTTAAATAATAAGAATAAATAATTAATGATTTATTTTAGAATATTTCACTTTAAAAAGATGATATTTAAAAGAATAAAAGAACAAATTTTTTGATATATTTTTATTTATTTTAACAAAAACAGCGATGCTATTAGTTAGATTATTACTTAGATAATTTCAAAACTAGGCTAAATTCTTGACTTGATAGGTAAAGTTGGTGATAATGAAGACTTAAAAGAATTACTTATCAAGCAGATAAAGGCTATCACAATTAATACAATCTCAATTTAGTTTAAGTTACCTCTTGCATTCTAAGCTATTTTATCTACATAATTGAATATTATTGAAAAGTTGATTTATTCTTTTGATTAACTCGAAGAAGAAAATTTATTAAAGTGTGGTTTACTTGCTATGTTCAGAATATTGAGCAAATTCACTTACTACGCTAATCCTGAATTGTATAAAGAAAGTGTCTAAAAAAGCAAAATTATGCAATATGCTTAACCTTAGCTTTAATGTTCAACAGCTTTCTATTCATTTTTTACAGCAGAAAAAATTGAATAAACTCTCAATTATTTGATCCAAAAAATCCTCCCTTATAATTTCCAATTAATGAATGAGCTCTCAAAGAACGATGATATCATTGAAAAAGGTAAAAAAATTCTCAATTTTATACTCTTAAATTTATTAAATTGTTATTCTATGAAAATTAGATGACTAAAATTACATGGATGATGCAGTAAATGAGATCGATAACTCTTTATATAGCATAACAATGTGCATGACTGAGCAAATTCTCCAACGTTTCCCAGAAAAATGTTTGCTTCTTTTAAAAAATCTTATGTCTTAATTGCAACAATGTAATAAAAAAATAAATTAATTTCATTATAATTAATATGTTAATTTTAAATATCCATTTTAAAAATAAAGCTAATTTCACAAATGTTTCTAGCGACATACAAGAAAGTATTTTCTCGATAATGGGTTTGGTTCCTAAGGTTTGCAAGAAGAATAACATTGATCCCAACAATTTATTCGATTTTGTTGGATTGTTAAAATACTTGTACAACAATCAAAAGCAAATGAATTTTGCAGCAAGACGTATTCCTATTTTAGTAACTAAATGGATTGAATATCTTCCATGTAAAATTATTTTCTTATTGTTAATTTAATTAATAATAATAATTTTAGTAATCATTGAATAAATTAATTTATTTATTTTTATAAAAATAGAAAATATTTAAGTCGAAATTGCTGGAATAGTTAGCCAAATTATTTATGACCACCAAGAGCCTTATATTCGTTATGAATGTTGCATGTGCTTATCTGAAATTGTTAAAACTGAGGCTAACTTAGATTACTCTGTTATGATTGATAAGATTGCTCCTATTATCGTCCAACTTTTCACTTGCTTCGAAGTCGCTACTGTTTTATGGCGTCTAATTTCTTTCTTATCAAATATATTGAAGAAATGTTAAGCTGAGAATTAGCATTAGTAACTTTTACTTGTCCTCTAAAATTCACAATTAAATGCTATCCTTAACACAGACGATGAATTGTTAAAGGGCGCTCTTGCTGATATGTTCATCGATTTAATTGTCTTCTTCCCTCCTAGCACTCCTCTTTAACCCATTTACAAGCTTGCCATATAATTTATTGATAACTGTCTTTCAGTAATTTCATTTATTATTTTACTTAATTAAAATTTATTCTTTAATATTGAATTATTTTTATTAAATTGTAGAAACGCAGCTTGGAAATTAATATTCTTAAATTGTGGTATTTCCTCTCAAAAGAATATTGCCCTATTTAGTAATTGGATGAACCCATGAAGAATCTTCTTTTCGTAATTATAAATCTTCACTTAAAAAAAATTAAACTAAAGTTTTCTTTCAATTATAAATAGAAATACATTCCTCTTTTATCAAATTCTGATTAAGACGAAGAGATTATCGTAAAGGCTCTTTCTATCATTGAAGAATACATTTTATTGGAATTCATTCCCTTAAATTCATCAGAAATTCTTGAATACATAGAAAAAACATATGTGATTGCAAAGAACTTCGAAGCTGAAGATTGCATTGATGAATGCTTAAACATAAAAACTCAAGCCTTGAATCTTTTGGGTACTGCTATTTTGATCTTGTTAAATAGACAAGAATAAAACATCTTAATGAGCTTAGAAGTACATTTTTTAAATTGTAAAAATTATAAACTTAATTATATTAATTTAACAGAGAATTATGAAGCTTTTAATTATTGATTTATCTAACACTAACATCAATAAGACTAATAAATTTGTCCCATCATACCGTGCAATTCTCCAAACTATATTCAACAGATTCTTAATTGAAAACTTTGGAGCTATGATCGAATTCGTTAAATGTAATTTATTAATTAATTTTCATTCATAGAAATATATGAATATCTATCTATCTACTTTTAAATAAGCTTATTTATCTAATTTATTTGATTTTAACTTAAAAAGAATGTGGCATGAATGTTGATACATTTATGGAAACATGGTTCATGAATATGGAATTCACAGAATCTAAGAATACTTCAAAAATTAACACTATTGCTGTTTTAACTATCTTGCCCCATATCTCTGGCTAAATGTTCTCTAAGTATTTCGGATATGCTCTTAAAAGAATGTTACCTGATATCCACTTTTACTTAGACTTGCTTGCTGGTAACAAGACTGAAAAACCTTAAAACGCTTTCGCAGTAAGATCCCGTAAAGATGAAAAAGTAGCCTCTGCTCGTAAGAAAGCATTAAGATAAACTTAATTATACGAAAATGTTAATTTAGTTTAGTTTTTTAAGACTCAAATTCAAGTAAAATTTGCTTTTTTAATTTCAAGTTATAAAATAGTAATTTTCTATTTAATTTAAAGGCTGCATTCTAAAATTTCAATATAGCTCCTAACAGTTTAAGTGTATTGATTGACGATTAGGGTAGAATTGAATAATTCTTAAATATAATGAACTCTAACTGATATTTATCAAATGAATGTCTATTTATTGTATTATATCAATATATTATAGTTATTTTATTAAATAGGTTTACTTTATATTTTCTATTAATTAAAACATCATCTCTTTTATATTTTATCTATCTATCAATCAATCAATAAAACAAACACACACACACATATTTTATTTTAATTTCTCCTTAAAATATTTTTTTGAATAATTTTTAGTTCATATTTTATAATAAAAATAAAAATGTATTAAAATTGAATATAAAAAGATGCTCTTTTAAACTAAATTAATTAATTAGATTAAAGCTAAACAAATTTATTTTTGTTTTAATCACCACTTGATTGAATAATAAAAATATCAACCTCTATTTATTAAATTATTAAATTTTTATTAAAAAAACAATGTGAAATTAAAATGAAAAAAGAAGGTCTTTTAAACAAAATCAATTAGATTAAAGCTAAATAAATACATTTATTTTTATTTAAATAATTAATAATTAATCGATTAAATAATAAAAAATTTCAACTTCATCTTATTAATTATTCAATTTAAATTTAAAAATAATGAGAAAACATATTCTTTTAAATAAAGTCAATTAGATTAAAGCTAAACAAATTTATTTTTATTTTAATTAACAATCACTTGATTGAATAATAAAAGATTTCAATTTGATTTTATTAAATTATTTAATTTTTATTAAAAAAATAATGGGATATTAAAATGAAAAAGATGTTCATTTTAAAATAAATTCAATTAAATTAAAGCTAAGCAAATATATTTTTATTATAATCACCATCTATCTATCTAATAAAGTTATAAATTTTGTTATTTTTATTTATGTTTATAAAATTTTTTTTATAGATTTAAATCTAGTTTCAAATTCGACAAAATAATAAATTCTCTTTTCTAAAAAATATTCTTAAATTTATTAATTTAATAAAATAAATTTTTTATTAGTTTCCATATATTTTCCTTTGGTTATTCAATAATTTTTAGTGATTATAGAAATATTTTTAAAGAGAACTTTAAAATTTTTTGATAGATTAAGTAGAAACTAGCAAGCAGAATAAAAATATCATATTTCCTTTTATTCATATAGTTTTTAATTAGATTAAAATAAAATAATTGGATATAAAAAATTTGAAAAGTAAACGATAAAATTTTTTGAATCTTAGACACTCGCTCACCAAATTTGCAATATATTTATTTCATTTTAATAAATAAAAGACTTTTATCATGTTAGAATTATTTGCTAAATAAGTAAAATTAGAAATATTGCATCTATGTATGTATGTATCTCATATTTACGTAAAAAATAATTAATTAAAAACAAAATATCTTTTCAAAGTAAATAAATTAATCAATTAAGTTGAAAAATTGTATTAAAGCGAAGAAATGTCTAATAAAGATAAATTCAGTTCTTCTTTTTTTTTAAATAACAATTAATAATCTGAATTTTAAATGCAAAAAAATAAAATATTTTAAGATTAGTAAGATTATGATGGTTAAAATTCATTTAATTCTGAAGAATTCAAAGTAAAAATTTTAAAATTAAGGATGATCATTTCATTAATAAATATTATGAATTTAAATAGCAGGACTAACAAAGCGAAGATCAGATTGTTTAGGTAAAATAAAAAATTAAATAAAAAGTTAGTCTAAGAAGTTTAAATACAAACAAAAATTTCCAACTTAGAAACTAGAAAATAATATGTTTTTGGTTAATTATGAACAATAAAATATTTGTTAGAATGATGGATAGAAACAATTAGGACAATAGATGTAAAAAAACAGCATAGTTTAAGATTAGCAAGATTATGAAGATTAGCAAGATTATGAAGGTTAGCAGGCAGATATTATCTAAGAATTGGCTGCTGTAAATACTTAAAATTGAAGATAATTTGATTTAAAAGACATTAAATTAATAAGTAGGACTAATAAAATAGAGATTAGATGATTCAAACTCAATAAAAAAGTTAAGCATCAAATCAGCGAAAGAAACTTAAATATAATAAAAAATTCCCAATTTAGCAACTATCTGATAATGCGTTTTTGACTAATTAGGGTTAACAAAATATTTGTTGGGATAACGGGTAGGAGTATATAGGATAGACATAAAAAAATAATATATTTTAAGATTAGCAAGATTAGGATTAGGATGATTAGCCAGCAGATATTCTCTAAAAATTGGAAGTAATAAATACTTAAAGTTAAAAATAATTTGATTATAAAAGCATTAATTTAATGAGTAGGAATAATTAAACAGAGACTAGATGATTGAAACTCAATTAAAAAGTTAAACATCTAATTAGCGAAAGAAGCTTAAATATGATTAACAATTTCCAATTGAGGAGCTACAAAATAATGTGTTTTTAACTAAAATGCCAGAAAATAATTATTAGGAAGATGAAGAGGAAGAGCAAAATATTGAATAGAATATCTCAGATGAACCTAATTATGAAAATTAAGAGGAAAAAAATATTAATGATAAAAGCAAAATGGATTAAACTATAAGGATTTTAGATTAAGATATAACAGCAAGTTAAATTAATTATGATTTAGAAAATGAAGAATATAACAAAAAATTTGGATTAAATTAACATACTGACAAAAATTATTAATAAACTAATACTGATTTTGGCAAAGAGCTTGAACAAGCTATGGAAGAAATTAATGATTAAACTTAAGAATAAATATGGTAAGACGAATTCGCTTAAGATGGAAATTAACAATTTTTCAACACTTCTAATCAAAATAATTTTGAGTTTTTACCCACAAACACATTTAGTTTGTCAGAATATATTAAAACGACTATAAATGACCATTACTTTAATGGAGATTGTTAAAATGTAAAGACAAGACTAAATGATACAATCAAACAAGTTTATTAATACGTGGAATCTTAAATAACAGAAAAGCATAACCAAATTGAGGATTTTAAAACAAAGTTAAAAAAATTCATTTTTGATTATAGATACGATCAAAATCACTAACCACGCAAATACTTTCACAAAACTCTTACTGAATAAAATCTAAGACAAAAATTTTAAGACCCTAAATATGACGAGCGTAAAGTCAACTTCGAAATTCAAGATTTTGATGAGACTCCCTTCAGTTTGTTCGCTAACGAAGTGGATATTTACATCAACTCTCTTTCTAACGAGGTAAATAAATCTATATAAATTAATATTTTATTATCAAATCTTTAATATATCAAAAAAATAAAATAACATTTAATTTATTGCTTTCAACCACAAGTTTATTTTCTAAATAAAACTTTTTAATTTAGAATGTTTTTTTTTTATAATTGAAATAGATGTGTATAAAATAAGCTTATTATAACGAATTAGAAGTGTATTTGAATGCAGTTTATAGAGAAAAGTGTGATATTAAATCTAATTACTTGTATGAAAGGAGAATTTATCATCAGTGCATTCAATTTACTTTCAAAGATACTGGCTTGACTTTAAAAATTAGAATTTAAAAAAAAATTTATAATTTATTTAAGCAGAGAGATAAAATAATTCAAAGCTTTTATGCAAAAAATAAAACAGAATTAAATATTTTTAGTAGCTTTGTCTTTTATTGGGCTTAAAAGCGTTAGCTGCTTTCACAATATATCATGGACAAAAACGCTTGGATAATCTTAATTATTTATTTTTTCTAAATTAACAAACGTTTACCTCCATCCATAAATTATGATTAGCTAGATCTAACTGCTAAATAAATAGAAAATGAATGCTATTAATAAGCAACAGACCAACTCAAAAGAAATTTAGAAAAAGAAAAACAAGCAACAATCACTAGTGATAAGGTATTCGACTTCAAAAAGTTTGAAAAAAAGAGCAATTCTTAGTTTGTAGTTCAATGCAAGCTTGATCAAAAGCTTAATATCAATAATAGAGATTTGACTCTGGATAATATGAAAATTTACTAAATTCTACCAATAATTAGACCAAGCAGTTAAGAAATACATAAAATACATGAAGCTCCCAATTTTAATTATGGTTTCTTCTTCTTTAAGTTTTTATATTTTTTAAATTTTCAAATTGTCATAGACCCGATATCAGTATCAATAAATGGCTAAATTTTACAAAAAAAAATAAATAATCATAACGAAAACGCCGAACCATTATCAATAAGAGATACAATAAGACCAGAAATTAATTTAGTCTCGCATTTATCATTCTAATAAGATGCCTTTTCCCATTTTGTAGAGCAAATAAAGTTTGCTTACAGCACTATCCATGAAAATAAATCAGAAAAGTTATTTCTAAAATCTATTCCTTCTCCTGTATTTAACACCTCTAAGAGAGAAAAATGATTCAAAAGAAATTCAAAAATGATTCAAAAGAAATTCAAAAATAATTCAAAAGAAATTAAAAAATAATTTCATTATTTAAATTTAAAAAATAATAAGATTGAAAAAATAATAATGAATGCTGGCTGATTAAAGCTATTTATAATAAATTACCCTCTCATATTAGTTATTTAATTAAAGTTATATTTTAATACTTTGTATAAACATTTTAATTCATATAAATAAAAAAATTCTAATAACAAACAATCCAAAACCTAATTATTATTATTATTATGAGATTTAATTATAAGAACAATGTTTTATTTCCATTTTTATAAAATAAATTTAAATTACTTAAATTATTATAAAGAATTTCATAATTATTTTTTTTAATTTATTTTAAGGAGAAAAATAACATAAATGGTTTTATAAAAAAAAAAGTAAAAAAATAAAATTCAAAAATTTTAAAACTCAAAAAATTCTTTTTTTTATCAAAATTTTATCAAAGTTTTAATTAAGATTTTAATTTTAAGATTTTTAAATATTTATAAGTTTTTTCTTAGTTCATTAATGAATAGAAAAATATCCATCTCTTTTTTAAGTTTAGAAAATGATAAATAAGTACTAAATAAAACAAATAAATAAATATATAAGTAGTTAACAGAGAGAATTAATATAGAGTATTTTTTAAATGGTTTTTATTATTTCAATTTATTTAATGTTAATTTTTAATAAATTCAGTAATTTCTTTTTGCTGCCAATTCATAGTTTTTGTTACCTCTAAAAATAAGCATAGATTAATGATTAAGCTTTGAAATAAACTCACTGAAATCTCCAACATTCATGTTAATGCTCTTTGCTATAGTTGTTAAATCGTTATAGGAGAATTAATATGAACCTTTAATTGATGCTTCTTATTATAATCTTTCTAAGAAGACCTTTGTTTATTTCATCACACTAAGACTTCCTATATTGTTTGGGTTTATATTTTTCAAACCCTTATTAACTTATAAAGAAGTGCCACCTGCTCCACGAGCGTAGTTTAGATCTTCAAGAGAATCAAATAAACTTTCTTACATCAGCTCAACAACTTCCTAATTTTTAAATAAATTTGATGTCAATAAATTTATTTGGTCTAAATTATTCGAAAATCAAAATACAAGAGCATCCTTTTTCGTCACTATATCTCTGCATTCTATTTTTGCACGGGCTTATGAAAGTCTTACTAGAGACTCAAGTTGTCTGTTTGTAATTGGAATAGATGAAGTATTAAAATGTGATTCTCTCAAAGTTAAATAAAATTCCTTTATAATTTCAGCAGCTTCTCTACTAAGTCTAAATATTTATTTATTATTTTAAAGGATTTATTTAAATATCAAAACTAAATAAATTATTTACACTGGCTGAACAAATTTCTTCACATACTAAATATATTTTCTCATTATAGCAGGAGAGAGAATTAGATTTTCAGTAACTTCTGCACACTCAGCTTATAATTTTTCTGTCAAAGAACTGTATTCAGTATCTTGCATGTATTAAGGCTATTTCTAAACAAACTATCCCATTTCATCTTTCTTTCTTTTTCTTGAATGCAGCTGTTGATTAATTTATTCATTATTCAAAATAAAGAATATAATCTTTAAAAAATTGTAAAGAATTGAATTAAATAATTTTAAAATTAAAAAAAAACCCTTTAACAAAAATATTTTTAATTTAATTTAATAAAATAAAAATTAATTTTTTAAAAATTACTTTCATAATATGTTCTGATAATTTTTAATCTCTCATTGGATCAGGAGTATCTAATAGAAGGAAAATTAAATCAAATCTAGATAGAATTGCGTTATTAATTTTAATATTATCCTTGATTTATTTTGATTTACTTTTTATTTTAAATAATGTGTTATTTTTTATTGATAAAAAACATTAAATTACTTATAATGTCCTTCTTTTGGATTAGCTGAAGCTATAATAGTTGCTCTTGATTAAAGTGAGCAAAGGACACCACTTTTAGCTAGAGAAACTGTTTATTGTTCCATAGCTTCTAACAAGACATAATGATCAGCAGACATTTTATCAAATTCATCAATACAACAAACACCTTAATCACTCAAAATAAGAGCACCAGCTTCGAGCGTACTTTCACCAGTAACTGGATCTTTTGTAACTGTAACAGTCAAACCAGCGTTAGAAGAGCTGCTTCCACATGTATATATTGATCTAGTAGTGATATTGGCTAAAAATTTCAATAACTAAGATTTACCTTTTTGAGTAAAAACAATAATTAATTAGTTTATTAAAAATGATAGAATTATAAAAAGTAAGTCACACCTAAACCAGGATCACCAATTAAAAGAACATGACAGTCGCTTCTAAATCTAAAATAAATAAATAGTTTAAAATTTCAAATAAGAAACTTGAATGTATCTAAGTAAATTACGAAATTTTATTGTCATCAGCAAATGGATTAGAAATACCTTAAAGCTCATTAACTGGAGCTCCACCTAGAATAGAAAGCAAAAGTCCTGCCTTTACTAGCTCATGCCCAAAGATTGTAGGACAAACAGATTTAACAAGTCTTGGGAATACACGTGGATCATCACTCAAAGTCTAAGCCATAATTATATCTTCTTCAGAGAATTCTTCTTCATCTTCGTTTAAAAGTTTATTTTCATTTTTAGAATTAGTCAAACAGTTTACATCCATAACATTAGATTGCAGACCAATTGTTTTTTTGCCTTATTCTTTTAAATTTTAAAATATGAATTAAAAGAAAGTCAAAAATAAAATGTATTAAATTTAAGTTTATTTTAAGCAATAATTAATTTTATTGTAGTTCATTTTAAAAATGTTAAATACAGCTTAAATCTGCAGCTTCAGTTCTTAATAATCCAGAAACAGTAACAATATCTCCATTAATTGTAGTATTAACAAGATTATCTCTTAGTTCACATTCTAAAGTACGAGGAACTCTTCCACTTCCTTTGTCATCTTCTTCTATTTCTTAAAGCTTGATTCTTTGATACAAGCTGGCTTTTGCTCTAGTTTTATCTGGATTAAATTTAGTTCCCTTGCATTTTGTATTCAGGCATTTTGTAGGTTAGGAATAAATGCCATAAAGAAATTTAATGACTTAGTTTTATTTGCAATCAAGACACTAAAAAGTCATTTCGTTAATCATAACTTAAACAGGAGAAGTCTTCAAAACAACACCCTTTACTTAAAGATATTTATTAATTATATTAGCTTTAATATCTCTCAGCTAAACTGATTAATCATAATTGTATAAGCGAACTATCACTTTCTTTCTTTTTTAGCCTAACAGATGAACTCTTACGCAATCCAAAGCCAAGCTAAGAGAATTTATAGTATCATTAACATCCTTTTCTATTTCTTATTTAAATAATTCAGCTTCCTTACAAGTTTCATCATCGAAATTCTTTAGTTTTATAAAATCAACATAGGCTTCTGATAAATCATTTCTTTTTAAGTTAGTCCATTCTATAATATCTTTAAATTATTAATACAATCTATAACATTCAAAAAATGAAAGCAACATCACATGTCTTGGATCGTTATCCTTTTTTTCATTTAAAAAATATCTATCTTAAAAATTTAATCAATTTTATATCATAAATTATTTTGATAATTCACTTAAAAAATATGTCTTCTTTCGAATAAATTAAATATGACCAAATCCTTTTACATTTAATTCTTTAAAAATTATTATTTTTTTTTTACATAAAATGTTTTGCAGTCATCTTAAAAGTAGTCCTTCCACTTTTCGAGTAGTAATGTATGATCAAAGTTACTGTTATTATTCATTTCAGGCTAAATTATGCTAAGCGAAGACTCGTTATTCTTTTTTGGATGAGTTAATCTCCCTGGACTTTTATAATAAAAATCTGATTCTCTTTTAAAACTAGACATTTTTCAAGATTCGTCAAATCAATCAATCAAACAATCAACTAACTATTTATTTATTTCAAGAAACTTCTTCTAATATTTTGTTGATTTCTACTTTTACAACAAGCAATGAATTTTAATAATATAAATGAATAATAAATCAAATTTTGATACTAAAATCTAATTATCAATTATTTTCAAATTTTTGCGGAAAATCTGCAAAAATTTATGGTATTTATCAGTTTAAAATTATAAAGCAGAAACCATTTTTATAAAACATAAAGATTAATAATACTCAAAAATTTAATTTGAAAAGGTATAGGTAGATTTTATTATGTTTAACATCCATTAAAAAGTTAATATACTTCTGAGTATGTATCTAAAAGTATTTCCAAATATATATTTACATTAAAAATAGTTAAGAATTTTATTTATTAAATTAAACTAAAACATGAAATTAAAGTTTTAAGTAAATAAATATTTGAGAAGAAAAATAGATAAAAGTTAAAAAATCTTAAAACCAAATTCGAAGTTTTTATTTATTATATATCAGATTAAACAAAGCAGAACTTTTAACAATTGAATAGAAAGTAATAACTAAAATTATAAATATTGATTAAGGGTTGTTGGTCTAGTGGCATGATTCTCGTTTAGGGTACGAGAGGTCCCGGGTTCGATTCTCGGACGACCCCAATTTTTTTATTGTATTTTAGATAAAATAACAAAATTAATTTAGTTAAAATAAGAAAAATGTGAAAATTTCCAAACAAAAATATCGATTAAGGGTTGTTGGTCTAGTGGCATGATTCTCGTTTAGGGTACGAGAGGTCCCGGGTTCGATTCTCGGACGACCCCAATTTTTTTTTTATCAAAATGTTTAAAAATCAAAGAAAATCTTAAATACCGAAAGAAAACATATTGATTAAGGGTTGTTGGTCTAGTGGCATGATTCTCGTTTAGGGTACGAGAGGTCCCGGGTTCGATTCTCGGACGACCCCAATTTTTTTTTTTAACTTTACTCTTCTCTTTCTTTAATTTAAGTAAAAAACAATTTTGAAATTTATTTTGTTTTTGAAATTAATAAAGATTTTGAAATATTTATTATTCATTTTTCAGATGAGTTAACTTTGTAAAGTATTTTTTATTTGTGATTATTTTATTTTTTCTTACAAACACAAACAAAAACTATCGATTAAGGGTTGTTGGTCTAGTGGCATGATTCTCGTTTAGGGTACGAGAGGTCCCGGGTTCGATTCTCGGACGACCCCAATTTTTTTTATTTTTTGAATAATTTTAAATGAAGATGAAAACGTTTTAAAGCAAAACATTAAAAAAGTTTTTAAGTTTTATTTCATTTTTATTTTATTGTAAAATTAAGTGAAATTTCTTTCTCAATGTTTTTTCTGATGAATGTATGAATGTACTAGAGAATTAATAAACCTTTTTGTTGATTTGATTTGAGTTGATTAAATTAAAAAATGCATTTAATAATTAAATGAAAACTATTGATTAAGGGTTGTTGGTCTAGTGGCATGATTCTCGTTTAGGGTACGAGAGGTCCCGGGTTCGATTCTCGGACGACCCCAATTTTTTATTTTTATCTAAAGCTAACATATCTCTAAATGAAAAACGTATTATAAGAAAAATTTTGATAATAAAAATTGTTAATTTTCCTCATTAATTTCTTTGTTTTTTTTAAGCTTTTAATCAAACTTTTAAAAAACAACGTGGTTTAAATTAATTTAATACCATAAAAAAAGGCTTGAAACAAAAATTAAATACTGAACAGTAGAAAATAAAAGAGGAGATAGTGATTCTAATCTCTTTTATCTAAAATTTCTAAAAGCTTGTATCTAAAAATTCACCATGATATATATCCTTCCTTTTATTTTGTTAAAAAAGATTTTATAATCTGCATCATTATGAATAGACAATTCAATGAAGTTTACATACAATACGAATTTTTAACTAAAAATAATGAAATAATTTGTTGAAATTTGAAAGAATTAATAAAAAAGATCTTCTAATAAAGAAATATTTTGTTATTTATGTTAAATTACAATAATACATACAAATATAAATGAGGATATAGCAGTTGGTTATTTATTTTTGCATATCACTTTTATGTTTTACGCTTTAAGAACATACTTTAAAAGAAATTGGTTAGAAATTAATATTTTATATTTCTTCATTTAGTAAATCTGGTGTTTTCAATAGTTTCTTAAGCCCTTTTTAAGTTATCATCGATCTTGGCTTAGTTTTCAAGTAAAAACTTTCTCAAAAAGCTGTTGTAGATGAACAAGGCTCCCTTAGTTTTGGGATAGAATAAGTAAACATAGAACATAACCTTAAGAGGGTAGTAGAAGGGGAAGAATTAGAGAATAAGGCTCAAAGGACCATCGAAAACGTGTAAGAAACTAAAGACAATCCAATAGGTCAACCATTGCTTATCATCATCATCGTCAGGAGTCTCGATAGCCTTGAAACTCATGTAAGAAGGATATAATAAACCGACAACAGCAGTTAAGAAGTCACTAAAGATACCAAAAATAATGCACAACAAGGCAAGACAAAAACTGACAGCAACAATGTGACCAGGGGGGACACCAATTTTAACTGCAATATCAACTAAGGGCTTGCATTTTTCAAAATCCTTTCCAATATCTTCAAGAATCTAAAAGATGGGATTCTTAGAGGTTTATTGATTGTCTGTGCTCATACTAGCTTTTATTATTGCTTATCTATCTATTTAATATTTTTTACAAATAATTGTTTATTTGATTTTATAATTATTATGATTTTCTGCAAAATTTTTGCTCCTTAAATTGTGAATCTCCAAATGAAATATGTTGTTTATTTGTTATCAGCAAATATGTAAAAAATAAAAGATCCATTTATTACTTATTTATTTATTTATCTATCTATCTATTTATCTATCTATGAATCATACATACATATATGATTTGAAGTGTAAATATATATGTATATTTATTTTTTTACATATTTTATTTTTAAAAACTGATTTTAATATAACTACTATGTAATACGTCATGATTTTCGTAGCAATTTTATTTTCCTTCATTCCAGCATCTTTTATATATTAAAGTTATTCTATATTCTAAAATCTTATATTTTGCATTGATTTGACTCTTCTCTAGCTATGATTCAAGCACTTCTTATTATGATTTTTAAAAATAATAGGTAAATATTAACATTTCAAAAATAGCGTCAAAGTTTGTAATCAGCATTAATTTTATGTTATTAAATGAGATATTAAGTAGAACATTACATTTAATTTAATTTAATTAATTATTTCTACTTAAAAAGATTATGATTCTATTGGTGGAGAGCAAGGAATAGAAGAATATAATATATTACATATTCAATATTCTTACTATTAAATTCACTATCAAACTTTAGTTTATGGATTTATTTTGTAAAAATATTGAAGCAAAATTTATCAACTTTAATTCCATCAAATAAAATCTATCTAATTCATCAAATTTTTACACTAAGGCTTGGTTTAATTATTGTAAATCAATATTTAAAGAAGATATTAGCAAAGTAACTAATATAAAATAATTAACAAATATATTGAAAAAAATGATTAAATTATTTAAAAAGTTAGGAAAAAAATTTGAAAACGCAATAAAAATAGATAAATTTATTTTACCCTAAATTTCAGTTTAATTTTTAAATAATATTTATTGACTAAAAAATTAAAAAATTCAATTATATACTATATTTTTTAATTCACCAATAATTAGAAGTAATTAAGGATTTTTATTCTAATTTTTTAATATTTTTTTCAAACTCGCAACCGAACTTTAGTTTTGGAAAGGTTTTATAAAATAAATCAACTTTTTTTCCTTGAATGTTTATTTTCGATAATTATATATATGAGATTATTAAGATAAATTAATAAATAAAAATAAATTATTGAGTAAAATTATTATTATAAGGTTAGTAGCATTATAATTAAAATAAATATTTTTTTTACCATGAGCTACTAATATTTTAAAAAAATCAGATTTTATATTTTGATTTTATTCAATATAAATTGTTTGGTTACTTTTATTTTATTGTAAATTAAGATGAATAAATTGTTAGAATAATTATTAAATGGATTTTCAGCTTGCAAAAAAATGTTTCAAGTAGATTATTAATATCATTTACTTTTTATATTTTTCAAGCATTTAAATTTATTTATTAAAAAGAAGTTTCTTGGATTTCTACTTTTACATTGTCAGTAGATCTTACCTAAATAGAAACTTACTATATTTTAGTTTTAGCAGATATGTCTACTTCTCTTTTTAAATATGGAACTTTAATAATTCCATTATAAATTAAATTTCCTGCAAAAAGGCAAATATAGCCAGAGCTAATCATAATACATGTTTTATAATCTAAACTTTCCCAATCTCTTAGACCAGTATTAGTGACTAACAAACCAATTGACCATGTTACTAAAATTCCTAAAGTTCCAGCTACTGATCTTGTTAAGCTACTAAAGTACTTTGTTGTAAACACACCACTTAGATTAAAAATAAACTTGGAGAGAACACCTAAAATTACAAAAGCCAGCAGCCAATTATTTGATAAAACACCATCAATGTATTAAGAAACACTTTCAAAGTAGAATTTTTCTCCTACTTTAACACAGCCAACTTTGTTTGGGAAATTGCATTCAACATTACAAAAAATAGGTAATAAAATTGCTAGATAGATTATACTTCCATACAAGCTAATTAATTAATTATTTAAAAAAAAATAAATTATAGACTTCATTTAATTAATTTTTAAAATAAATAATTGAAATATTAATTCATTGATTACGCTTCAATTCCTAATAATTGGCATGGATGAATGTTGTATTTTGTATAAATGTATTCTTCAGATGTGTAATAGCAACCATAGAGAACCATACAAATAGCAAGTAAACCAATTGAAATAAGCTAAACTTTTATGTTAGCAGAATTAGAAGTACTAACAAAGAGAAAATGAGATAAACCAACTAAAATAAGTCCTATTATTGTGCAAATTAAGCCTATGTATCTGTACTTAAAGAAAATTTTTCTGAAGATGATTTTAGAGAAGATAGCAGTGAAAATTATGGAACCACATCTCATCATTTAATAAATACTGCTATCAAGGAAAAGCAAAGCGAAATACTATAAAGTTGCTCCAGTTAAATCACAAACAGAAGGAAGCAATATCCAGAGATAGTCTTTGAAATTGTTCATTTTCTTTTTGTTGTGGTCAATTTGTATGATATTTTATTTCTTTAATTTTTTATATAGAACGTAATAAAGCGGTAAAGTATTAGCAAGTTCCATAATGAAAGTCTATTTTTATTTTTTATACAAGATAAAGTTTTTATGATAGAAAGAAAGCAAGTTAATTTTATCTAAGTTAATTGAATTTCAATAAATTTACTTAAATAAAAGGATGATGAAAATATATTCCATTTATCATAGTGGTGTTTTAGTATTTATAAATGATAGTATCACAACCACCAACAATAATATATAGAAATACAAAAATGTATTAGCTCCAAATGAATGTTTTCTATGCAGGATTAGAGTCTTTTTAGGTTGGTAAAACATACTATTCATTTGTTTATATTTACTTCAAAGGATTTTGATTGAAGTTAACTACTGAAATAGGATCAAACTATGAGAAAGTACCTTTGCTAATTGTGGTTTAGCTAGGATTTTCTTTTGAAATTATCATTTCACTCATAAATGTTTTGGAATTTATTTTTTATTTTTAGGGTTTTTATTGAATTATATTAAATATATGTATTGGAACTTACCTTCATTTCTAAAAAGTAGTTATTTATTTTTAAATTAATATTTCATCAGATGATTATAAAAAACTTTTAGCATATATATATATATTAGTAGTATATTTATTTGTAGCTTTTTTAAACAATTATCAAATTTTATTCCTATTTAAATTGATAAAAGTTAGATGGAAAGTTATCAAAATTATCTTTACTGCAATTTTTAATTATACCAAAGTGACTACTAACTAACTAGCAAATTAAATAAGTTACCAAATATTAATAATATTAGAAGAAATTTATTTTTGAATGATTTTTAATTTAGTAAATTTGAAAATAAATGAAACTTCTTTCTAAAAATTAATTAATTGAACTTCTATTTTCAGTTATTGGTTTCTATTTTAAATTAAGGTATGATTATTCAAGTGTTATCATATAATTTGAATGATATTTTTATAATCAAAATTAAAAAATTCCTACTTGCTTGCATGATTACATATATTACATCATACACTTTCTCAATAATACTAATTAAAAGTAAGAGTTACTCATACAGATTAAAAAAATAAATAGTTCTTTGATATGTAAAGCAAATTCTTTAAGTTATTCTTAATATAAATGATATATTAGAGTAATAAAGGATTGAAGGGTATTTTTATCATTATGCTCTATAAAAAAATTTACCAGTTTTTAGTGTGTATTTTATTGCAATAAAAAACTGAAAAATTTTTAATTTTTTGTTTCAATTAATGTTATAATTGAATTTTTGTCATATATTTTTTACAATGAACAAAATGATATTTGATTTATTGTAAATATCTGTATTATAAGTACTTATAAGTTTCATAAAAATTTAATTTATTTAAAAAAATAAATTATAAAATAGAGAAAAACATTTTACACCTAGGATCTATTTAATTAAACGAAAGTGCTAATAAATTAATAAATTAAAAAATTTCAAACTAAACTTGAATACCTCTTTCAAACTCTTCTATCAACATTTTTTTATTTAAAAAAAATTCACTAATGAAGATTTGGTTAATTAAAATATAAAATGATAAATGAAATAATTGTTTACTATAAAAGAGTATTTACTGTTTAGTAATTTGCATTCATCTTAAATTAAATTTTGGTAAAAGAAATTTATTTTGTTTTTTAATGCAAAATGGGGATTTAGTTAATAATAATATAAAGTGCTTTGATAATAAATGACTAAAGGTAATTTAATGTAACAAAATTTATTAATTTTGCTATAAAAAATACCCAGTTACAATTTACTTTCCAAATCTTTGTAATATTAAGCCTAAATTAATTCTTTTACAACTCAGTAAGTATTAAAAAAAATGAAACGGAAAAACAAAACGAGCAAAGAAGTAAAGAAAAAAATAAGATAAAATATTTTTTTATCAATTTAATTGACTTTTAAATTTAATCAAAATAATACTTATAGGTTTAGAGAGGGATTTTTATAAAAAAATAATGAAAGATGAAATTTAAATTTTACATCATTTTAAAGCAAAAGAAAGAAAATTGAATGAAAATATTTCTTTGGGAAATTTTAGTTTTGTGAATAATGATTATATTTTAAGGAAATAAGTTAATTTTTCAACATTTGAATAATTATTTCTTTGAGTTTTACACAAGCGATTATCAAATTACAACGTAACTGAAAATTAAAAATACTAATTTTTACAATATAATTTATTTATTTAAATTTTGCTTACTTTTAAGAGAGAAAGATTAATTGTAAGATTTTTTTAAGATTAAAATTAATCATAACGCAAATGGTAATTAATAGTACGTATTTGCCAAAGATAAAGCAATCTTAATAAGTTATTAAATATTAATTTATTTACTTATAATTGTACTTAACTTTATCAATTTATATTATTCATTCACATAAAATGTATTCTAAAAATATATATTTCGCCATTATTGTCAATATAAAGACAATCAAATATTTTAAACATAACAATTTGCTTTTTAGGGTTTATTCTTAAATAAAAACTAAAGGAATTAATATTAACTAAATAATTTAATAATGAATTTTAAATCTTTGTTTGCATTAATAGATTCTATCTAGTTTCTACCAAAAATGATCAAATCTTATTCTTATATAAAGCTGAGTGATAAAATGAAATTTATTTAGTTATTGGTTAAGCATTTTCTTTGATTAACTATTCCTTTATTAATTATCCGTAATAAGCGTTTTAATTGATTATAATATTACTTATTATCATAATACGCATAATCAATTACTTGAGATATCTCAGAAACTAACTATAAATTTAGTTAACACAGTAAAGTAAAGCCTATAAATACTGAATATAACTCAAATATATTGAAGATTAATAAAAATAATTATTTTTTATTTTATTACTTTAAATTTTTCTTTCTTTTTTTAAGATGAAAATAATTTAAATTTTGACTTGCATTTAATAAAAGGTTATATTTTTAATAGAAATTTATACTTAAAAGAATAATATATAAATAAATTGATAGTTCAGTTAATCAAGATGCATTATGTATATAAATTATATATAGAAGTTTTTCAAGATCAAATTGGCTTTGCAATTTTTTAAAATAAATACAAAAAATATTTTCCATAATTTTAGATAAAAAATATTTTTAAAATATTTAAGCTTATGAATTAATTATTGATTTTTATTGATTGATTGATAATTATTTTTGCTCATTTTTATATTGATTTTTTTAGTCATTAATTATGTATTTACAGTGTTTGTTTGATTGAAATTAGGTTTAATTTTGTGTGTCGAATTTAATTATAAATAGAATTTTTCATGTAGGTAATGATACTACTGAAAAAGGAGTTTCTTAGATTTCTATTTTTAAAGTATCAGTAGATCCTACTTAAATAGAAGTTAATTATTATTTCTTTAAAGCTTAAATGTCACTTTCTCTCTTGAAATATGGGACCTTAATTATTCCATTGTAGATTAAATTGCCTGCAAAAAGGAAAATATAACCAGCGCTCATCATAAGACATGTTTTATAATCTAAGCTTTCCCACTTTCTAGCACCAGTAGCAGTGACTAATAAACCAATTATCCATGTTACTAATGTTCCTAATGCTCCAGCAACTGATCTTGTAAGGCTTCCAAAGAACTTTGTTGTGAATACTCCACTTAAGTTAAAAATAAACTTAGAAAGAACACCCAAAATTACAAAAGTCAACAACCAATAATTCTATAAAACACCATTAATGTATAAAGATATATTTTCAAAGTAGAACTTATCTCCTACTTTAACACAACCAACTCCGTTTGGGAAATTACATTCAACATTACAAAAGATTGGCAATAATATTGTCATGTAGATTATGCATCCATATAAACTAATTTTTTAAATTTAAAATTAATAAAATTATTTACAAAAAATCATTTTAATTAATATTTTAAGCATTTAATCAAATTACACTTAAAAAATAAAAATTCCTTTTTAATTATTTAAATATTAATTACGCTTCAGTTCCTAGTAATTAGCATGGGTGGATATTGTATTTGCTGTAAATATATTCTTCAGATGTGTAATAGCAACCATATAAAACCATGCAAATAGCAAGTAAACCAATTGAGATAAATTGCATGCTTAAACTAGAAGACTCAGATGGACCAACAAATAGAAAAGGAGATAAACCAACTAGAATAAGACCGATTATTGTACAGAGTAAACCAAGGTATCTGTACTTTAAGAAAATTTTTCTAAAAATTAGTTTAGAGAAGAGAGCAGTGAAGATTATGGAGCCGCTTCTCATCATTTGATAAATGCTACTATCGAGGAAAAGCAAAGCGAAATACTATAAAGTAGCTCCAGTTAAATCACAGAGAGAGGGAAGCAATATCCAGAGATAGTCTTTGATACTAGTCATATTCTTTTTGTTGTCGTCAATTTACATGATATTTTACTTCTTTAATTTTTTATATAGGATGTAATAAAGAGGCAAAGTGTTTGCAAGTTCCATGATGAAAGTCTTTTTATAGAGAAGATAAAAGTTATTTATAAATTTATAATTTAAAAATGAACGCTTACCTAAATAAAAGGATGATGGAAATTTATTCCATTTACTATAGTCGTGTTTTAGTATTTGTAGATAACAGTGTCACAGCCACCAACAATGATATACAATAATACAAAAATTAATTAGCTCCAAACAAGAGGACTCTAGGTAGGCTTAGAAGGTTACTAGACTGGTTGGATTTATACTTCAATACGTTTTTTTATTAGCTTAGTTGGACTTTCTGGGAAGTTAACTACAGAGATAGGATCAATCATTGAGAAAGTACCCCTTCCAATCGTAGTTTAGCTAGGATTTGGCTATGGAATGTTTGTTTCACTCATCAAAGAAAGGTTTGAAATAGTCTTTTATTTGTTTTAGGTTTTTTGTTAAATATTTATAATTGATTAAAATTAATTATTGGTGCTTGGTTTTAAAATAATTTAAACTAGTGATGTGGTATTCCAAGATTAATAGTTATTTTTGAGTCTAAAAGTATATAATAAGATGAATCAATAATCATCACAAGATGACTTATAGGCTATTATAAATGAAAAGAAGAGAAAAATAGAATTCAACAGAAAATAAAAATTAGGTTAAAAATTAATTTAGCTTTAAGATGTAATGCTTTTTTATTTGTACATTCATGTTTGCTATTATAAATTAAATTGTTAATATCAAACCTTAAACGCATTATTTTTGTTGCGATGATTGATTATTATTTTGGGTAAGATTTAAAAATTAAGTAGAAAACTCTTCTAGAAAATCAAAAGAATCCCTCATTTTGAAAGGTGAATTATATGTAATTAAATTTATTCCTTTAATTTAAAAATTTATGAATGTAAAGCGAGTGTTTGGTTCATTCAAAATAATCAAATTGCATTTTAAATTAATTATCAACCAACCTACCCATTCATTCTTATTTTTTTAATTTGTTAAGCAAATTCTAAATTATAACTATTATTTTATTGGTACGACATTTTTTGTTTTTTTTTAAGAGCGATTTTCATTCAGTTTATTTATTTTAACCATAGAATGACTGAAAATAATTTTTTGATGTTTTTAGAAATGAATTTTTGTGTATATTTTTGAAAATGAATTGAATAAATCTTAAAATAAACAAACTATTAGGAAAATGTATTGATAATAAATTAAAAATTAAGAAGTCTATTAAATAATTATTATATAAGTTAATTTAAAATATATTTCTAGGCCTATTCATTTTTATGGTCCTTTTAAGAAGTATTTAAGTTATTAATAGAAATAAAAAAATCCATTTAAATACATTTAAATGAGATCATATAATATTTACTCATAGTAAAAATAAAACACCTAATCATTTATTTTTACTTTTTGAATAGATAAAATTAAAAATAATATAGTCCCACCAATAAATCTAAAAGTTAAGGCTTTTTAACTTTTAGGATTATCATTTACGGCATTAAATTAAATTATTTCTTATATTAAATATTAATTACTATGTTAAGAGTTATCAATATAGAAGAATTTCTAAAAACTTTGAAAATGTTGATTTTTATTTTAAAGATTTTTTTTTAATATATTTAATATAATTTAATATACAGTTTTTTTAATTAAAAGAATTTAATAAATGAAATTATTTTCTAGATTTTTAAATGATGCGTCAATTTTTTATTAGAATAATTGGAAGCAGCTTATTACTAAATTTAATTCATCCATTTTTAATGCTAGAAAAAAATAAGATTTCTATGAATTCTAGTAAGAGAGGCGGTACTTACCTTAGTTTCTTTAGCGAATAAAAAAAAAAACATTACTCAATTTTGATTAGAATTTATTATCTTTACATTAATTTAAAAGAATTTAAAAGAAAGAAATATAAAATAATTTAATTTTAAAATTCTTCAAAGAATAATATTAATAAAAAAATAAATTTAAAAAAGTTAAATATCAAGAAATAATCCAAAAATAAAAATTAAATACTATACTTCCTCATTAATGAAGACTTAATTTAATTAATTCCATCCAAATTTTAATGAAGGATTAGATGCATTTAAAAGTTACTTTTTTCTTTAATAATATGCAATATAATTGCGTTGATAACTCAGTATATAAATAATTCAAAATGAGTTAAATATTTACAATTTTTTATTTTAATTATTTTCTATCTTTCAAAAAAGAAATAAAAAAATAATTTAAAATTATTTATATAAAATCTTCACTGTTTATAAATTTATTTTTCATATTGATTAAATATTTCCATTTTTTTTATTTAGTGTCATTTGATGAAAGGATTAAATAATACTTACTTACAATAATAATACGTAAAGTTAATTGAGAGGTTTTTAAAGTTATAATTTATGATTAAAACAATAATACCTCATAAACATACAAACAAAATCTGAGCGTAAATTTTATACTGACGAAATAATTAATTTGATTAAAAATCCATCTATTAGTGAATACTAATTTATTAAAAATGCATAACATAAATGAAATTTATGACCATAATATTAATAGCTCAGTTGTAAAGGAGAATGCGTAAAATTTTAAGTAAATACATAACAAATTAAATTTAAATTATTATCTTAAAATCCATTAAGAAACTCAATAAATTCATTCATTCATTTTAACCTATTATTTAAAAATCCTTTTGATAAATATAAATTTATCTTAAATTTATAACCATATTTTTATTTATTATTTTGATGCAGTAAATTAATCTATTTACTCATACATTCATTCTATTTTAATTTGCAAAATGTATCAATCTCTTTGCTTTTTTTTATAGAAATTAAATAATTATCAGTTTATTATGATAAATTTTACAATTTTCTAGTATTAGTTAATTCATTTATCTCTAATAAATTTTCTCATTTGTTTAATATTTGATTCCTTTTGAAATAAATAATAAAATTAAATTAAAAATATTCTTACATTTGACTGACTATCCTTAAAACATTTAACTATTTTTTATTCTATTTTCTAAAAGAATAATTAAAATAAAAAATTAATTTTAAATTTTTTATAATTTTGAAACATGGCTTTTATTCATAAAATAATAATGTATTCATTTCCTTTCAGATATTTTATTATATCAATTAATAATTAATAAAATCCTATAAACATTTATTTCTACACCCATAAAAAGTATAAAATTATGATATTTAACAAAGAAGAATCTTTATTTAATTTAATAAATAATCAAAAATATATATTAAAAAATTTAATGATTTAATTTAAGACAAATTTTCTAGAAAATAGTAAATATCATAATATTTATTCATTTTAATTATTTTTAATTACTATTTCAATCATAAATAAATATTTTAAAAATAGTAATAAATCTATCTATCTATCTATCTATATTTTAGGTTAATTTATTTGATAACAGAATATATATTAAAATATAAAATATATTATATTAAACTATTCAAAAATATTTATATTTATTCTTCTTATTTCAACACTTTTTTATCACCAACATTGTATTTTTATGGCAACTAATCTTTTTGATTTAAGAAACTTTACTTATAATTACTACTTATTTTCGATTTAGTAGGTCCTTTTAATATAAATTAGTGCAAATTACTAAAAAAATAAATAGAATAAAATTTTTAAATAAAATATAATATGTTAAGTTAATAAATAATAAAAAAATTTTAGCAAAATAAGAAATAAAAGAAAAATAAATCAAACAAAAAGCTAATAAATTAATTAAAAGATTTAGTTAGTTATATTGTTTTAAATTCATTTTTATATTCAAAACATTAAAATATAATAAAAGCAAAAGTTAAAAATGAAAAAATGGGTTAAATTATCAAACAAACAAATCAATAAATAATTTAAAAAAAAGAAAAATAAATCAAATGAAAAGCTCATAAACAAATAAATTAAAAGAGTTTTAGTTTATTGTATTTTTTATTGTTTAAAATTCATTTTTATTTTCAAAAATATGCCAATCCAAAATAAATAAACTGTTTTTACTTAAGATAAATTGTCAAATTAGAGAGATTATTGCACTTTCTTAAACCAAAACCTAAACCTGATGTATCTCCATCACCGATTTAATTCATCCTTTTTAAATATTAATATAGTTATTTTGTTAGTAATAAGGAAAAAATGAAATAATAAAAATTAATTAATTAACTAATAATAAAAGTAAAAATTAAAATTGAAAAAATGAGTATAATTATCAAACTAACAAACAAAAAAATAAATAAAAAAAATACAAGAAGAATAAAAAAAGAAGATAAAAAATAAATTAAATGAAAAGCTCATAAACAAAGTATAATAATTAATTAGTTAGTTATATTGTTTTAAATTCATTTTTATATTCAATAATACACAATCAAAAACAAATAAACTTTTACATAAGATAAAGTGTTAAATCTGAGAGATTAGTGCACTTTCCTAAACCATAACCTAAGCCTGATATACCTTTATCACCAATTTTATTACCACTTGAAATATTGATGAAAAAATACATAGTTAATTTGTTAGTTAGAAGGAAAAATGAAGAAAAAATATGATAAGAAATCAATTAATTAATTATAAAAGCAAAAGTTAAAAATGAAAAAATGAGTTAAATTATCAATCAAACAAATAAAAAAATAAAAAAACCATAGGAAGAATAAAAAAAAATAAATTAAATTAAAAACTCATAAAAAAGTAAATTAATTATTTTTTTTAACAATAATAAATAAACACAAATAACGAAAAAATATATATATATATATATATATATATATATAAATAATATTATATAATTTAATTTAATTTTATATTTAAGTTGTATTCTGAGTGCATGTTTATATGTGCGAGTATTTCTATTCTATTCTGCACCAATAGAATTATACCTTTTTAAACATTTAAGAAAAAATATAGAGTTAATTAGTTAGTTGGAAGGAAAAAAATGAAGAAATAATATGAAAAATTAAGTAATAAATTAATTAATTAATAATAAAAGAAAAATTTGAAAATGAAAAAATAAGGAAAATTAACAATCAATCAATCAAGCAAAAAAATAAATAAATAAATTTAATGAATAAAGAAATTGATAAATAAATAAAAAGAGTTAGTTAGTAATATAGTTTTAAATTCATTCTATATTCAAAAAGACCAAATCCAAAAATAAATAAACTGTTTTTACAAAAGATCAAGTGTCAAATTTGAGAGATTAGTACACTTTCCTAAACTAGAACCTAAGTCTGATGCACCAATTGCGCCAATAAAATTTTCCCTTATTAAATATTGAAGAAAAAATAAAGAGTTATTTTGTCAGTTAAAGCAATAGTTGAAAATAAAAAAATAAGTTAAAAACAAAAATAGAAATAAAAAAAAAACAATCAGAATAAAAAAAAGAATAATAAATCAAGTAAAAAACACATAAATTAATGAATAAATAAATTAATAGAGTTATTATATTGTTTTAAATTCATTTTTATTTTCAAAAACTTCATTATGTAAAACAAATAAACATTTTTTACGCTAGATTAAGTTTCAGATTTGATAGATTAGTACACTTTTCTAAACCAAAACCTAAGCCTGATGCACCTATTACACCAATAAAATTATACCTTATTAAGCATTCAAGAAAATTATAAAGTTAATTTGTTAGTTAATAAGTAAAAATATGAATTAATAAGAAAAGAATTAATGAATTAATTAAAAAAAAAAAAACTTAAGAAAAAAAAAAATAAAAAATAAATCAAAAAAAGAGCTAATAAATAAATTAAAAGTGTTAGTTATATTATTTTAAATTCATTTTTATATTCACAATCGAAAACAAATAAAATATTTTTACCTTAGATCAAGTTCCAAATTTGAGAGATTAGTGCAATTTCCTAAACCAAAACCTAAGTCTGATACACCTTTATCTCCAATTTTATTTCCACTTTTTAAATATTGAAGAAAAAATAAAAGGTTAATATGTTAGTTAGAAGGAGAAAGTAATGGAATAATATGAATTAATAAGAAATTAATTAATTAATTAATAATAAAAGAAAATGTTGAAAATGATAAATTAATTAAATTAACAATCAATCAAGCAAACAAAGAAATAAATAAATAAAGAAAGAAAGAAATGAAAGAAAAATAAATCAAATGAAAGCTTAGTTATATTGTTTTAAATTTATTTTTATATTCAAAAATATCACAATTCAAAACAAATAAACTGTTTTTACCCTAGATCAAGGACCAAATTTTAGAAATTTGTGAACTTTCCTAAACCAGAACCTAAACCTGATGCGCCTTCGTCACAAATTTTATTTCCACTTTTTAAATATTGAAGATAAAATATCTGGTTAATTTGTTAGTTTGAAGGAAAAAATAAAGAAATAATAAAAAATGAATTTAATTAATAATAAAAGCAAATACTGAAAATGAAAAGTGATTTAAATTAACAATCAAAGTGAAGCAATTAAATAAATAAGTGAAAAAAAATAATCAGAATAAAAAAAACGAAAAATAAATCAATTGAAAAGCTCATAAATAAATAAATTAAAAGAGTTAGTTTGTTGTATTATAAGTTCGTTTTTATATTCAAAAATATCACAATCCATACAAATAAAATGCTTTTTACCCTAGATCAAGTACCAAATTTGAGAGATTAGTGAGTTATCCTAAACCAGAGATTAAACCTGATAAACCTTCATCATCAATTTTATTTCCACTTTTTAAATATTGAAGAAAATATTTATGGTTATATTGTTAGTTTGAAGGAAAAAATAAAGAAATATTATGAAATAATAAAAAATTAATTAATAATAAAAGTAAATATTAAAAAATGAAAAATGAGTTAAATTAAAAAATAAACAAACAAACAAAGAAATAAACAAATAAATAAACACAATCTGAAAATAAAAAAAGAAAAATAAATCAAATAAAAAGCTCAAAATAAATAAATAAATTAAAAGACTTAATATATTTATATTCAAAAAGATCACAATTCTAAACAAATAAATTGTTTTTACCCTAGATGAAGTGTTAAATTTGAGAGATTAATGCACTTTCCTACACCAAAACATAAGCCTGATGCACCAATTGCACCAATAGAATTATACCTTTTTAAATATTGAAGTATAAAATATATAATTAATTTGTTAATTAGAAGGAAACAATAAAGAAAAAATATGAAATAATAAGAAATGAATTAAATAGTAATAAAAGCAAAAGTTGAAAATGAAAAAATAAGTTAAATTAATAATGAAACAAATAAATCAATCAAAAAACACAAACAGGAAAAAAAAGAAAAAAAATAAATCAAATAATAAGCTCATAAGTAATTAATTAAATTAAAAGAGTTAATTAGTTAGTTATATTGTTTTAAATTATATTTTATATTCAAAAATTTCACAATTCAAAACAAATAAACTGTTTTTACTAAATACAAAGCGTCAAATTTGAGAGATTAGTGCACTTTCCTAAACCAAAACCTATTTTTGAAAAGCTTTTATACCTCAGTTATTTAATTATGTCTTGGTTAATGAGGATTCATATTATCATGGTTTTAATTATTTTTATACAAATAAATATATATTAGATAAATTTAATAATATTTTCTTTTGTCAATTTTAAAATGTTATATAAAATAAATTTTTAGATATTTAAAATATAAAATAAAATACTATTATCAAATATAATTATTAGAAAAAATAAGTTAGATATCTTTGCAAATTTTGATTAGCAAGTTAATTATACTGTAAAAATAAATTGGTTTATTCATTTATTGTTAGAATTAATAAATTTTTTTAGTTAGAATAAAAATAAATGTCTTTATATAAATTAAAAAGTTTTTGCAAAATAACTTTTAAATTATTCTATTTATTTATAAAGAATTAATTTACTTCATAAGTATGCTATGATCACTCATAATCCATTAGAATAATATATTTTAAAAGATAATCAAAATATAAATATTATAGTTTTGATATCCAGAGCTTATATTAATAATTGTGTTAAGAAACGTTTACATATCATCATTCTGAGAAATGTAAACTAATTATTTAAATTAAGCTCTATTGATTACTTTTTAATGTTAATTTACACAATCAATGATTTTTTTAAATTTATCTTAGATTATTTAAATTTAAGCTATTGTCAGATTTATATTTTAAAAGATTAATATTTAGACATAATTGAAATTACTATAAAATAAAAGAAAATAAATAGATTTATAATTATATAAATATTCTTACTCAAAATTTATTTATTTATACTTTAAGTTATTATTATTATCATATTAATTAAAAACTAAGTTAGTATTTTTAAGATGGTTGGATGAAATCTCTAACAAAAAAATTGATTGAAGATTATTTATAATTTAATTTATTCTCATTTTAAAAAATTAATTGGAAAATATTTAGATAGATTGGACGTAATTGAAAGTACTTGAAAAGGAATAAATAGACTTATGATTATATAAATATTCTTACTCAAAATTTATTTATTATTTGTGTTATTGTAATCATATTAATTAAAAACTAAGTTACTATTTTCAAGATGGCTGAAGTCTCTTACAAAAAATTGATTGTAGATTATTAAAATTTAATTTATTCTCATTTTAAAAGATTAATTAGAAAATATTTAGATAGATTGGACATAATTGAAAGTACTGTAAAAGAAAAGAAAATAAATAGATTTATAATTATATAAATATTCTTACTCAAAATTTATTTATTTATACTTTAAGTTATTATTATTATCATATTAATTAAAAACTAAGTTAGTATTTTCAAGATGATTGGATGAAATCTCTCAAAAAATTGATTGTAGATTATTTATAATTTAATTTATTCTCATTTTAAAAAATTAATTGGAAAATATTGAGAAAGATTGGAAATAATTGAAAGTACTTGAAAAGGAATAAATAGAGTTATGATTATATATATAAATATTCTTACTCAAAATTTATTTATTCTTTAAGATATTGTTATCATATTAATTAAAAACTAAGTTAGTATTTTCAAGATGGCTGAAGTCTCTTACAAAAAATTGATTGTAGATTATTAAAATTTAATTTATTCTCTATTTAAAAGATTTATTGGAAAATATTTAGATAGATTGGGCATAATTGAAAGTACTTTTAAAGAAAAGAAAATAAATAGATTTATAATTTTATAAATATTCTTACTCAAATTTTATTTATTTATACTTTAAGTTATTATTATTATCATATTAATTAAAAACTAAGTTAGTATTTTCAAGATGGTTGGATGAAATCTCTAACAAAAAATTGATTGTAGATTATTTATAATTTAATTTACTCTCATTTTAAAAAATGAATTGAAAAATATTTAGATAGATTGGACATAATTGAAAGTACTTGAAAAGGAATAAATAGACTTATGATTATATAAATATTCTTACTCAAAATTTATTTATTATTTGTGTTATTATTATCATATTAATTAAAAACTAAGTTAGTATTTTCAAGATGGCTGAAGTCTCTAACAAAAAATGGATTGTAGATTGTTTAAATTTAATTTATTCTCATTTTAAAAGATTAATTGGAAACTATTTAGATAGATTGGACATAATTGAAAGTACTTGAAAAGGAATAAATAGACTTATGATTATATAAATATAAATATTCTTACGCAAAATTTATTTATTTATTTATTTTTTAAGTTATAATTATCACATCAATTAAAAACTACGTTAGTATTATCAAGACGATTGAAGTCTCCAACTACATTTTTATCTGTATATGGGAGGGTTTTTTAACTAATATTAGGATCAACTTTTTTAGCTTGCTTATATAATTCACTCCATTTTTCATCAACCTTAACTCTTTCTTCAGCTCTTTTTTTAACGTCTTTAGATAGATATAACGTAGGTACATTTTTATACGTAAGTGATTTTTCATAAGCTTGAGGATCTAACTCTCTTAGGATTGCTCTCAGAGCTATCAAAGATTCTTGCAGAATTTTGTGCCAATGATTATCAGCAATTTTATGAATTACTGGCACTATTAATGGGAAAGTTATTGATTTGTATTATCTAAGCATTCCTAAAAAGTATTCGTTTTCAAAAAAGCACATTGCTCTATCTGCTATTTGCAAGTGAGGTCCTGAAATGCATTTAATCAATCTTTTAAAAAGTCTTTCCACATATGGCTGTATTTTGTTCATTTCTGGAACTTCAATTACTTCTAATAACTCGCTTAAAAACATAAGCTCTTTAGTAGAATTAGCAAAAGGCCAGTATTTAAGCAAGGCATCAATTAAATCTAAAGATAATTCTGGCATCTATTTTCATAATTAAATTCTTTAATTTAAATTTACAACTAAGCATAAAAATGAATTATTCTAAAATATCTTTATAATAAATTAACCTTAAAATTTCAGCGATTAAAACAAATTAAATGCTTAAAAACTAATTATAAGAATAAGATAGCTCTTAAAATTTAGCGATTATAACAAATATCTTTTTTTATTTATGAAAAATAAAAAATAAATTCAAACCTTTGACAGAAACAACATTGAACATCTTTACAATTATTCATGGTAGTGATGTGAAGTTTAAACCTTATGAAGAGGTATAAATATATTTTTAAAGAAATCTATATGTTCTTCACGAAGTGGGACAGCATATCCACTGATAATTGAAGCAAGAATATCTAAAAGTTCAGGCATACCATTGAATGAATACCTTTCGTGGATAAGTGTTTAAAAGACAAAACTAATAGATTTCCTAAATGTTTTTCTTTTCTATACTAGTTTTCCGTATAATCTATGATACAGATTTTTTACATATTCCCTTTCTCTTGGCTCATTGTTGTCAAAAAGTTCAAGCAACTAGTGAATGAACTTTTTTGAAATATATTTCATCAATATCTTGACATCCATTTGTTAGTTGACAACCACTTGCAGAATATATCATAGACAGGCTAAAGGTGAGACCAACTTGCTACTACATAAACATCATTGATATCGATTTCAGGTTCAACTTTTTTTATAGAATAAATAAAATTAAAATTGAATACACTCCTTCCCTATAGTTAATAAATATCATTTATGTTTAATCTAAATTTATTTATTTGTTAGAAAAGTTTTATGATTTGCTGTTGTAGATTTTAAAATTGGATATCAATCATACATGCATACTATTTTTACTGCTTAACTAATATAATTTATTTAACTTATAAATTCGCTTCTTTAATTCAAAGATTTACAATTTTGGTTTTCAAAATATGAAAAAAAAGATAAATTATTTGCTGCTTTATTTTATTCAAAAAATTTTATCTGGTATATAGATAACATTACCATATTAATATAATTTATATTGAATTTTCTCTGCCTTTTTGCGTTAAAATCTGGCTTTTTACTACTTTTTGAAGTGAATAATTAATAATTTATATTAAATGTTAAACATGAATGATAGTAAAAGCAAATGTTAAAACAAGAAAAAAGCTCGATTTGAGTGATAAAATGCTATTTTTTGAGAAGAATTTAGCAATTATAATTACCTTATTATTATATTTACTTTTTTTATATAGGTAAAGGCCTAAAAATATTGTTTTCAATCATAATCATTAACTACTCGAAGTGGGGTAATACTAGAGCGGGATAAGCATTACTTTCCTATAATAAATCTGAAATCTGCTACAAATAGTAAAGCCTATCGTTTTTTTCTTTAATTTCCTTATTTTCATCATTGTAGTCGAAGTATCTACCACAAAACTCTAACTTGTTTATGTATTATTCTATCAGTTCTTTTGGAACTTTTCTATATTCATGTATTTTTCCTAATTACTAAACTAAAGACTTGTCCATTCCTTTCAAAATTAATAAAATTTTAAATTACCAGAAAAATATTCTTTAATTTTTGATTGATTTGTTAGGTAAGCAATTAATTAATTGAATTGATATTCTTTCAAAATTCACACATATATCATCAAAATACTTGTTTGTTTGTTAATTTACTTAATTATTTATGTTTAGCTTATCTAGAAAATCTTCTGGTTTTTAGTTTCTTCTTACAATATAAGAATTATCTTCCAAAATTCAAAACAATTAATCATTCCTAAATATAAATGGATATTCACGCACTGCTTAAATAATACTATGCATCAAAATGTTATCTTTTTTATTTGAAAATATCAACACAATTTTATTGTAAAATGCCATTTTTATTTTAACTTAAAAATAAATTTTAATTTTCTCTTTAAAAATTCAAATAAACAACACAAAACTAGAATTTATTTATTTATTTTTGCAAGAATTGCAAAGCAACTAAAAAATTTCAATGAAAAAATATTTCATTTAAGTTCAATTCATATATTTTATATCTTTATTTTATTTAGTATCAATAAAATTAAATAATTTTAATAAACAAAATAGAACAATTTCAAAGATTGTGTTGACATTAATACAATTAGACAATTTGTCCGAGTGGTTAAGGAGGAAGACTAGAAATCTTTTGGGTTTACCCGCGCAGGTTCGAATCCTGCAGTTGTCGTTTTTCCTTTTTATTTTAGCTACTAAATTTAAGCTAAAGCTTAAAATGCTTTTTAACACCTCGAATTTAATAGCAAAAATGATTAATTCTATGGTAATAATTAATAAAGATCTTGTTGAACTAAATTAGAAACATATCAAATAAGACAATTTGTCCGAGTGGTTAAGGAGGAAGACTAGAAATCTTTTGGGTTTACCCGCGCAGGTTCGAATCCTGCAGTTGTCGTTTTTATTTTTATATCTTCAGTCAACAACCCAAAATTACAACTGATTACATAAAATTAAACAAAATATCAAATCAATAAACAAAAATGCTAACCTAAAAGGATAAAATATCAATTGAGACAATTTGTCCGAGTGGTTAAGGAGGAAGACTAGAAATCTTTTGGGTTTACCCGCGCAGGTTCGAATCCTGCAGTTGTCGTTTTTATTTTTAAATTTCAATCAAAAGCATTTCTTTTCCCAACATGCGAAACACTGAAGAAATTTGAAATTAAGCAAAAAATAAATAAAATATACTAAAAATTAAATTAAAAAGATAAAATATCAATTGAGACAATTTGTCCGAGTGGTTAAGGAGGAAGACTAGAAATCTTTTGGGTTTACCCGCGCAGGTTCGAATCCTGCAGTTGTCGATTTTTTTATTTTTTACAATAAACCATACAAAATTTACAAAAATATACTTGATGTATTTATTTATTGATTGCAAAAAATCCTTTAAAATAAAATAGTTTTTTTAATAACTTAGTTATTTATTTTCCAAATTTCAGTCTTTTGAGTTTGTAATTCAATGAATATTTTTATTTCTCAACAAATTTATATATTTTCATAATAATTTTAATGAAAATTAAAACAATAAAAAATAAAATAAATGCACTATAATAATTTATTTAACATTTTTAAATAGAGATATCAATAAAATTTAAATTAATCTTTAATTAAAAAATAAAATACTTTTTAAATATGTGTTGAATTTCTTGTGATTTTTAAAAAATAAAAATAGTTAATTAATTTATTAAATAAATTTCTTATTTAAATTATTTCTTTATTTTTTTGTAAATTAAAAAAATACTCCTGAATATTTTATTAAAATATTTAATTATTTTAAATAAAATTTAAAATTAATATTTCATCAATTTATAGTCTGTCTTATCAGAATAGAGAAATTCTCAAAGAAGTTAATTATTTATAAATTATTCAATTAAACAAAATTGTTTATGTTTATAAATCATTTATTAAAGTCATAAAAATCATAATAATATCTGATGCAAAAATACAATTAAACAAGGCTGTAGTAAAAGGAAGAGTTTCAATCAAGACAATTTGTCCGAGTGGTTAAGGAGGAAGACTAGAAATCTTTTGGGTTTACCCGCGCAGGTTCGAATCCTGCAGTTGTCGATTTTTTTTTGTATTTTATGCTTTTAATCTCATATTTTTATTTAGAGAATACAATTTAGTGTAAAATTATTGAATTTATAATTATTTATATTAGAATTTGTAATTTGTTAAGATAATTATTTATAAAAATTAATGCAAAAATTACAATTTATTGTAAATCATGAGAAACAGGGAAGTTAATTGTAAGCTCGATTAGCTCAGCTGGTTAGAGCATGCGGCTGTTAACCGCAAGGTCGTAGGTTCGATCCCTACATCGAGCGCTTTTTTTCTTATTTATTTATTTCTTATTTTTTAATTTTTATGAACTTTTGCCAACAAATTTTAACTGTACGTACATACAAGTGGATATTTATTTAATTAATTTTTTTTTTCAAAAACTGGCACAAAAAGAAAATCAGATAGATAGATATATAGATTTATTTATAAATCGATTGATAAAAACAAATGAATTTTGTTATTTTGAAAATATTTTAAACATAAAATGAAATTTGAGTAAGAAAATAGAATATTATTTGATATTAAATTTTCAAGCAAATAGTATAAATAAGGGAATAACAAAAGTAAATATCATTTATGCTGAATTAATCAGTTTTATTTAGATTTAATTTCTTGTACAGTAGTCTTAATATTTTTTGCTAACTCTTGGTTAAATAATCTGACGTCTCTAGTTTTTTAAATTTCCCAGTATAAAAGGCCAGCGACTAATAGCAAGCCATTGATAATTGCTAAGTTTATGGTCTACTTTTCAAAATTCTATTTTTCAATTTAAAAAATAAGTTTTATGATAATCATAATTTATGATTAATAATGATGAATTAATGTGTGAAGTTAAAAATTAGCTTACGCTTGAGAATAAAGATAATAATTAATTTTCTAAATAAGAAAGGCCTAAGAGCAATGGTGAGGCAACAAAAACAACCTATAATAAGAAAATAGCTAATTCAGAAGTAGTCATTTTTCAATTTTTGTTTTATATACTAACCTTAAAAATATTTGATGCTTTTTTGCGTATCTAATTTTAATTAATTAATTAAAAGGATTTGTCTAAAGTTTTATTTTATTGCATATAGACCTCTTCTTAATAAAATATGTGATTACCACTTTGAGTTGAGAAATTGACTGAAATCTTCAATAAAAAATATTTAAAAATTTACTCAATCAAAATTAAATTTTCATGTTATTGTTTTTCATTGAAATATAAATAAATATAGGAAGATAGGTAGGTAGGTAGATAGATAGATAAAATATCTATTTAATTTCTATTTCCTGAAAACCTTTTCTATTAATAAGAACAAATTATCAATTTATACATATTTTATATTAAGGATGATATTTATCTCTTTAATTATTATTGTAAATTTTATTAGAATATTATTTTTTAGTGTTTTAATTAATTAGAAAGTATTATCGATTGTTTAAAATAAACAAAATATAACAAAAAAATAAAAGTGTTTTATTTTTATTATTATCAAAAATCTTATTTAATATTCAAATAAATATTTATATTTCTAAATTCCAATCAAAGAAATTTCTGAATTAAAAACCAAGCAAATGGAAAGATCAAGCATTTAAAATAGAAATTCCAAACGGACAATCATTGTATGTGGAAAACCAGGGGTAGGCAAATCTTCTCTTGGTAATCACATCTTAACTGGCAACCCAAAATCTGATTTATTTAAGCAAGAAGATAATCCAGAAGACTTTGGAGTTACTAAAGTCATACACAGAGAAACAAGAATGGTACAACATACAGGGTATGAAATTCAATACGTAGATGTTCCTGGAAGTGGTGATCCAACCATAGACCTGAAAGAGTGTTTGAATTAGCTAACTTTACAATTAAAAGATGTCATTTTCAACGCTGCACTGCTTCTAGTATCAGCTACTGATAACCGGAAGACTGCAAGTGAAGCTTTTGCTTGTAAATTTTATCAACATTTCTTTGAAGTCAGAGGATCTACCGAAAAGGAAAAGAAAGACTCGCTTTGGTTAATTATTACTCGATGTCAATAAGTATAATTAGGAGATGAATGGGTACCTAAAAAACTTGCAGCTCTAAAATCTATGGGCCTTGAGATCATGCCTGATCATGTAATACTTTATAAACAAGATGCAGCTTTCTCTGATTTGGATCCACTCTTTAAGTTTTTATAAAACACTTCTAGCAATAATGGTCTTGGATTAAGTGATAACCAAGAATAAAATTAGGAACACTTTTTTTAAGATATGGGAAAACTTATTGAAAGGGAATAAGCGCTTAAAAAAGAAATCTTGGAGCTAAAGCAATAATTGGAATGCCTATAATAATGGGATAAGCTACCATTTATTTTAAAAATTTTGAGTTCTTTTGGTGTTTACTAGAATAAAAAATAGGATTAGGAAGAAAGCAGTTCATCGTGCACTTTAATATGATTTATTTTATGGATTTGACGGAATTCTAAATGATATGATGTGTTTGGTCTACGAAATAATAAATGACGATGTTAACAATAAAGTTGATTTTCCCTTGTTAATTAAAAATTTTATTAATTCGAAAACTTCCCCAGATAAAATAAAACTTAAATGTATATATATAAATTAATCTAATTAAATTTATGGAATAGTTTATATATATATGTGTTAAGTATAATAATAATAATTTCCACACTTTATAAACAATATACAATAATATTTTGTTAAATTAGTTAAATCAATATTATTATTAGACTACTACCTAAGCTAAGTCTTTTTTTTTTTAAATTATTAATCAATTTTATTTTGAATGAAATTAATCCTGCTTTTGAAATATCTGGTAATTCATTTTATTTTAATTCAAAGAACAGTTTTGGTTAGTTATTTTCATTTTAAAACGCATTGTTTTTTATAAATTTTGCTTTTATCTTAAAATTCTTCAATTTTTAAAACATTAATCACCAATTTTGAGTGACTAAAATATAAAAAAATAAAATATTAATCATGACTAAAAATAAGTTTTTGAAAAATATTTTTGTAAAAACAATAGATATGGAACTTTTGGAAAAATATTTAAATTACTAATGTTATTATACCAAAATTTAGTATTATTTTAATATTTCAATAATAAGTGTAAACTCCCTCTGTTATTATAGTATTAGCAAGCCTCTACAATCTTCATCATCAATTTAAAAATTATTTTTTCTATTAAAAAATAAATAAAAATAATTTTTAATTTAATATTTTAATTCAAATTAAAATTTTTTAATGATTTTATTTAATAAAAAATTAACTAATTTATATATTCATTTATTTATTTTTTATCTCCTAATAGCCATATATTTATATTTGAACAATAAAATTATTTATTAATTTTTATTTAATTTTCAAATGTATAAATGTTTATAAATAGTTATCAAAGTGACAAAAATGAGAATAAAATAACGTAACAACATAATTATATATATAAATAAAAAAAATTATAATGATTATAAAAAATAAATGACTTATATTTATAATTTAGTTAAGGTAATTCAGTTAATAATCAATGATTGAATTTTTAATCATATTTAATTAATATGAATCTCAAATTAACATATACAAAGCAATCATAAGTATACTCATCTTCTAAATATAACTATTGCTAGAGCTTGATGTGTCACTTTTGTCTTAAGAATTCTTAAGATTTATATCTAAGTCAAAGTATTAGTAAGTTTACTAGTCTGCAAGTAAAGCATTGATAACAAAGGAATATAAACCTTAGTATTTGTTTACACCCATGAAATTTGTAAATGGATAGCATTCACTTTTTGTTTTAGCATAAAGTCTTAGCATATCTTCATCATTGAGAGTCAATAGATTTTGAGTTGGACAAGTCTCTATAACTAATTTATTGTAACTCTAAGGATTGCTGTTTGAAAGAGTTATAGAAGTTATTCTTTTGCCATCTGACTAAACAGTAAATAGAGTATCTCCAACAAAGCAAAAGCTTCCTTTACAGTTTGAGTCTTATCTAGGCTGAACAATTCTGTTATTTATTTGTTCTATAGTTAAACTAAAGTTAGAGTCTGATCCCTTAATAGAAAGCACTTAAATTGCCAAAATTATTAGAAGAAAATTTCTCATTTTCTCAGGAATTAAATAAATCTATCTTATTATTTCTTTTTCTTAACTTATTTTAATAGTTTGTTTTACAAAATATCTGAATTCCTATTTATAATTTAGAGATCTAATTTACTCATATTAGAGAGAATTAAACAGCTTAAAAAGATAAAATTAAAAGTTGTAAGTATTCTTTATTAAAATAATTAAGCTAAAAATTTAATATCAGGATTAGCTTTAAATTAAAATTATAAAAATATTAATTTCTATTCAGCGCTGCTATGTAAAAACTGAAATATAGACTAAAATCTGAAGTATAGCACTAAAATCTAAACTTTAATATTTATCAATTTTAGATCTTCGTTAATGTATAAAAAATAACAGATTCTCTTTGATGAAACAGTTTGTTCTTTTGTTAAATTCACACAAAAATATACAATTGGATAAAATTTTCTGATAGTAAAATTAAGAATAATTAAAGCTATTTTCTATTTATGAAAGCTTATTTAAAATTATTTTCGCATAGCTTGCTATCTATTTCAATTAATTAATTATACTTATCATTAAACAGATTTGAATCTATCTTATCTGTTCTTTTGCTTAACTTATTTTAATAGTTTTACAAAATATATGATTTCCTATTTATAATTTAGAGATCCAATTAATTTACTAATATTAGAGAGAATTAAACAGCTTAAAAAGACAAAATTAAAAATTGTAAGTATACTTTCTTAAAATAATTAAGCTAAAAATTGAATATAAGAATTATATCAGCATAATTAATTAATTAATTTAAATCAAAAACAAGATATATAAAAGTTATTTTTAAATAATCTTTAATAAATAGAATCTAACTTTAATTATTCTTAATTTATTTAATATCCGATCAGAAAATTTTATCATTTATATATTTTGGTGTGAATTTAACAAAAGAGTAGAATTGTTTCAAATAAAATAAACGGATTTAACAACTTTGAAAGAGGATATGTAATTTTTTATATATCCATGAAGATCTATCTATCTATACTTGATCAATATTAAAGTTGAATCTCTCTTATTTTTTCTTTTTCTTAACTTATTTTAAATAGTTTTACAACATATATGAATTCCTATTTATAATTTAGAGATCTAATTTAATCATATTAGAGAGAATTAAAGAGCTTATATGGACAAAATTAAAAGTTGTAAGTATGCTATCTTAAAATAATTAAGCTAAAAATTTAATATCAGAATTAGCTTAAAATTAAAATGATTAAAATATTAGTTTCTATTCAATGCTACTATTTAAAAACTAAAATATATATTGCATTAATAATCTAAAATTTAGTATTGATCAATGATTGATCTTCATTAATGTATAAAAAATAACATATTTTCTTTGAAAATTAATTTTATTTGAAATGATTATATTCTTTTTTTAAAATGATGCCAAAATATATATTTGATAAAAATTTCTGATCGTATATGAATGAAATTGAGAATAATTAAAGTTAGATTCTATTTATGAAAGATTAATTAAAATTTTTTTTCACTCAGGTGTTATCTATTTCAATTAATTACTTTTATCTATCTTCTTTATACAGGTTTGATTTTTAAAAGTTTTTGTAATATATCTTTATGTGAATAGAGCACAATCAATATTTGACTTTAAATGGGCATTTTATAATTTTAAGCATCAAAAAATAAATTACTATTAATTTTATTTTCTAATGTATCGCTTTAAGGATATGATTGTTAAATATATAGATATGAATATTTTCTTCCAATTTAATAATAATACTTTCTTTTAATTATTTTAATATTAATAATACTTAGGGGGTATCAGAAAGTTAGTAGTATTTATTTATTACTTTATTTGTTCAGCTCAAAAAAATTTTTCTTAGGAAACATTTAATTCTTTCAATAATGGTTGTTACACTAATTTTTGAGATATTTATTCCTTTAAATAAATTTATAAATTCATATTTATTATAATAGTTATTTATTTATTATATTTATCCAAATTAATTTCAAATAAAGATAAATTAATTTATATTTTTAATTCTTATAATTAATTAAATCTCCATAAACTAAAATTCAATATTTTGAGAAAAAAATAAATGATATAATAGAATTACTATTTTAAAAATCTAAAAAAAGTAATTATTTATTTTTTTATTAATGATTCTTAAAATTTCTTTTTGTTTAAAAAAAGTTTATAAAATCTTCACTTTAATCTCATTAGATACTCCATATTAAACTGAGGTATATTAAAGATATTTATATAGCTTTTTATTTGGTTTATTTTTCTTTTTATTAATAATTAATTAATTAAAGTAACTTTTTCATTCTAAAATATTTCTTTTATTATTAATTCATTTCTTATTATTTCATGTTTTTTTTATAATTTTTTCCATTTATCTAATTACTTAATTATATTTTTTTCTTTAATATTTAAAAAGTATGAATTAAATTGGTGACAGTGACAAATAGGCATCAGTCTTAGGTTCTAGTTTAAAAAATTGCACTAATCTATCAAATTTGATACTTGATCTAAAGTAAAAACAGTTTATTTGTTTTGAATTGTGATATTTTTTAGCGTAAAAATGTTTTAAAAATAATATAACTAACTATTTTTATATTTTTTATTTTATTTATGCTTATTTTTTTTTCTTTAATTGTTAATTTAATTTAACAAATTTTTTATTTTCAACTTTTAATTTTATTATTAATAATTTATTTCATATTATTTAATGTTTTTTTCTTCATTTTTTCCTTTAACTAACTAATTCATTTTTTTTTTACAATATTTAAAAAGTTACAATCAAATTAGTGATAAAGGTGTATCATACTTAGGTTTTGGTTTAGCAAATTGCACTAATCTCTCAAATTTGACACTTGATCTTAGGTAAAAACAGTTTATTTGTTTTGAATTGCTATATTTTTGAATATAAAACGATATTAATCAATATAACTAACTCTTTTATTTTAGTTTATTTACTACTCTTTTTCTATTTTATTATGTTTGTGTTTTTTATTTCTTTGAGTATTAAGCTAATTTTTTTTATTTTTTATTTTTAATTTTTAATTTTATTATTAATTAATTCATTTAATATTATTTCATATTTTTTCTTCATTTAATCCTTCTAACTAATTAATTAATTTTTTTTTTCTACAATATTTAAAAAGTTAAAATGAAATTAGTGATAAAGGTGTATCATGCTTATGTTCTGGTTTAGCAAATTGCACTAATCTTTCAAAATTGACAATTTATCTTAGGTAAAAACAGTTTATTTGTTTTGAATTGTTATATTTTTGAATATAAAAGTGATATTAAATCAATATAACTAACTCTTTTATTTTAGTTTATTTACTTTTCTTTTTCTATTTTTTTCTGCTTGTGATTTTTATTTCTTTGAGTATTAAACTAATTTTTTTATTTTCAACTTTTCATCTTATTATTAATTAATTCATTTAATAATATTTCATGTTTTTTCTTCATTTTTTCCTTCTAGTTAACTATTTAATTATATATTTTTTCTCCAATATTTAAAAAGTGAAAATTAAATTAGTGATGAAGGTGTATCATGCTTAGGTTTTGCTTTAGCAAATTGCACTAATCTTTCAAATTTGACAATTTATCTTTGGTAAAAACAGTTTATTTGTTTTGAATTGTTCTATTTTTTAATATAAAAGTGATATTAAATAAATATAATGATCTTTTATATTAGTTTATTTACTTTTCTTTTTCTATTTTATTCTGCTTGTATTTTTTGTTTCTTTGTGTGTTAAACTAATTTTTTAATTTTCAACTTTTACTTTTATTTTAAATAATTTTTTTCTTATTATTTCATCTTTTTTCTTTATATTTCATTTCTAATAGATTAATAATATTTTTTTACAATACTTAAAAAGTTCAAGTGAAATTGGTGTAATTGGTGCATCAGGCTTATGTTCTGGATTAGCAAATTGCGCTTAAATATCAAATTTGACACTTGATCTTCGGTAAAAACAGTTTATTAATTTTATATTGTGATATTTTTTAATATAAAAATGAATTTAAAACAAGATAACTAACTAACTAACTAACTAACTAACTCTTTTAATTTATTTAATAGGTTTTTATTTGATTTATTTTTCTTTTTAATTTAAAAAATTTTTATTTTATTTCTTTTTTAATTTAATTAATTTTTTTATTTTCAACTTTTGCTTTAATTATTCATATATTAATTTATTTCTTATTATTTCATGTTTTTTCCACATTTTTTCCTTTTAACTAACTAACTAACTAATTAATTAATTTTTTATTTTTAAAAAGTTACAATGAAATTGGCGATAAAGGTTCATCAAGCTTAGGCGCTAATTTAGCAAATTGCACTAATCTGTCAAATTTTTCACTTAATGTTTAGTAAAAATAGTTTATTTATTTTTGTTTGTGATTTTTAAATTAATTAAAAAAAATAATATAACAGTTTGAATTTATTTACTAGCAACTTTTGCTTTTATTATTAATTTATTAATTCATTTTTTATTATTTCATGTTTTTTTCCATTTTTTCTTTTAATTAATAATTACTTTTTTAATAATATTTTTTTCTTCAATATTTAAAAAGTAGGAATTAAATTGGTGATGAATTTGCATCGGGATTAAGTTCTGTTATAACAAATTGCACTAATCTCACAAATTTGGTACTTAATCTTAGGTAAAAACAGTTTATTTATTTTAGATTGTGATATTTTTTAATATAAATTAACTTGCTCAATTAATTTATTTATATTAGCTTTTTTTTTATTTATTTTACTTTTAGTTTTATTATTTTAACTATGTTATTTTCTTACTTTCTTCGTTTAGCAAATTTTTTAATTTTCAACTATTTATTTTATTATAATTAATTTCTTACTATTTCATGTTTTTTCTTCATTTTTTTCTTCTTACTAATTAATTAATCAATCAATCAATCATATTTTTAACTTTAACACTTAAAAAGCTTTAACAAAATTGGCGCAATTGGTGCATAAAGCTTAGGATCTGGTTTAGCAAATAGGACTAATCTTTCAAATCTAACACTTGATATTGAGTAAAAACAATTTATTTGTTTTAGATTGTGATATTTTTGAATATAAAAATGAATTTAAAATAATATAACTAACTCTTTTAATTTATTTAATAGTTTTTTATTTGATTAATTTTTCTTTTTCTTTTTAATTTATTTTTGTTTCTTTGTTTATTTAACTAATTTATCATTTTTAACTTTTAATTTTATTATTAAAATTATAAATTTCTTATCATTTCATCTTTTTTCTTCATTTTTTCCTTTTAAGTAATTGATAAATAATATTTTTTACTATAATATTTAAATAGAAGTAATGAAATTAATGCAACTGGTGCATCAGGCTTAGGATATGGTTTAGCAAAATGCACTTCCATGTCAAATTTTACACTTAATCTTAAGTAAAAATAGTTTATTTGTTTTACATTGCGATAGAATATAAATTTGAATTTAAAACATAACAGCTAATTTTTTTAATTAATTTATTAATTTTTTATTTGATTTATTTTTCTTTTATTTTTTTATTATACTTGTGCTTTTTTTCTTTGTTTGTTAATTAAACTAATTTTTT